CAAGGTGCACACATACCTACAAAGCCATCACTGCTGCCACCTGTTTTCTATAACAAGAGCTCATTTCTAAAACTACTTGGTTACCATTTCTGGGGGCCAGAACCAAGCCGAGATTTATGATTGTCAGACAATGGTGAAATAACGAAAGTGCTATGTAACAGGTGGGTCGTTCCTGCTACTGATTAGCAGTCAACATTTTTTTATTGCAGTCCTATGAAGAATTGTAAGGATATTTTTAGTTTAATCAAAAAGCTTTTCTTTTCTTTGAATACAATCAAAAAGGGAACCTAACATTTCAATTGATTTAAGCGTTTAGCTCGCAACCAGGAGGCTGTGAATAGGTCTCCCAGAGCCGCCTGTCCCTTCAACTTGCCTCTTTCTGTTCAATGAGTTATCGGTTCTGGACCGGACCCCTGGATGGAACTCAGCACAATAGCAACAGAGTTTCCATCTCCAAAGGGAAGGAAAGGCTGACATTATCCATTTTACCCCTATTTAAATTGTGCATCATGCTGGCGTGTTGTTAACAAGCGACGTGAGAAAAACAGTGCCACAATATCCATCTTTCCAATTCAAGTGATGGCTTTGGGAAGGACATGGGAGTGGGGGGGGGGGAAATAGAGCAACAAAATATTGATCCTTCACTACAGCATCACTGAATTCAGATGATATTCCCAATCCCCCTTTATAAGGCATACACCACATATCAAAAAATAAAAAATAAAGTAGCGGTATCTGTACAAAATATCCCTACACTAAGTTTGCTCCACCATTCTGTATATCTATGTATTGAAAATCATTCATGTTCTACCTACAAGAAGAGCTGATGATTTTGAAGTAGGAGAGAACAATCAGGAGGGTGGAAAATTAGTCAGTCTCTGAGGGCATGAAGTACAAGATGGGGCATGAGTTGTGGGGTAGACAAAAGAGGATAAAGCACACATTTGGGAACTAGTCAGTGGTCAATGAGGGAATTCAGGGATGCAGAGCAATATACTACTGTCTGGACTGAGAAAGATCAGGTGTTTACAGTGCTGTAAAATGATTTAATGATGCAAATGCAAGTAGAAATTCTGGTAATAACTGGCAGCTACCTGACTTTTGGGAAGAAAAAATACTTTATGAGTTAAATTTATCAAACGGTAATTGCTGAGTTCCATGGCTAACAAAAACAATTGTTACTGTTAATGTCCTAGTTAACAAGAGTGAGTTAATTCTAGGATCTAGTGGCAAAATCAATCTCTTAATTAGCATGATCAAAATTGGGCTGATCATCTCATCTATGGTTCAATCTCTCCTATTGCATTTCTATCACAAAACTGCAAAGTTGAAGAGTTAAAACTGTTGCTGTGCATAACCTTTCAGAACGTATCTGTTTAACGCTGACATCCTACTTGGCTAATCTTTCGGTTCCATTAAGAAGTTGGTAAACTGAACCTGTGTACTATGTGTCACCACAGGCTTCAGATGCAGAAGATTGCAGTGTAAACACACTGGGGTATAAGTCACTGACCCCTAGTGTTCCTTTCATAGCAAATTGATAGCATAATTTTATTATGCTCTGAATGACGACTACAGGGAATGTGCAGGATCTGCACAACTCTACATATAATCCATTTGACTAAATGTAACACTTCCATTAGATGAGGGTATAATGAAAGTAGTACTGGATGCCAGCAAGGACTATAGCATTTCAGTTTTCAGATCTTGTCAAAAGGGCACACAATAAATCATACATATAGCTTATTAAATGTCATAGACAGGTGATCCAACAGGGAGCCCAAGGAGGGTGCTTATATTGCAAGATGACTTCTGTGTCATATGATATGTATTCCTCAGAGTACTAAGGTCAGAAAATCTTTCCATGGATTTTAATAAGCTACTTATTACCGTCTTTTGATGCTAATTATTTGATATATCCTTTGGTACTTGTCCATTAATATTGAACTGGCAGCCATATTTTAACAATGATTGGGTATCATAATCATTGTTCATTTTGATATAATTGACGTACTTTTTAACGAAAACCTTAAGAATGTCAGGATTAGGATGAAACAACTAGGAAAAGATAAGTCTTGTTGGCTCTATTATCCCTTGTATATTGGTCAGGATGGAGAGAGAATTTTCCAATTTAGGATATTGAGCACTTATAATGACTAATGCGGTATCAAGGCCTAATTTATATTAGACAGATAAATTAACAAAACTTAATTAATTACTGTATTAAATCTTTAAAATTGAGGCTTATTTTAAAACTTTGCAGATTCGTCGCTGTCATCTCGTGATTAAAAATAAATATGAGGCAATTAAAAGGTGTATATATGAGTGGTTGGTAAGCTCATAAAATAAAACTGCAGTGCACAAATGCAGCATGGAATCATCTGTTTGTACCATAAGAAGCCATGCTGCAATGCCCAATTTAGGGCATTATAAGTTCTCTTCCCAATATACAGACTAAATTTTTAAAATATATTTTTTGACTGCATGGATAACAGTTTAGAGCACATACTAACCACTGAGTAACCCAGAAAGATTAACTAAATCTGTGCATGTATGCAGAATTTGGTATCTGTCATCATTCATCATATAGAGGGATAAGATAAATTTCACACCATATGCTATTAAACACTGATTCTTGGCAAAAGCCTGGATTTAACCACCACAATATTTTCCCATGAGTCATAATTTAATCCAAAGATGTTTTCACAACAAGCAGATAAACTCAAAAAGAAACAGTAATTTGACACTAGAAAGCAAAACCTCAGTCTTCAGGTGCCATCCGATTTTAAAATCCTATATAGGACTAAAATTCCCTAAGTATGCACACCCCAGAGAATTAAGTAAATCTTTTTAACTTTACAACTGAAACAACAAAATCTTTCATCCCACCTAAAGAAAAAGTAAGTGAACATATGTGATATGTAAATTGCATTCGATCAATCTTTGATGGCAATACAAAGGGCTTCACAACGTTTTCAGCTTCACTTTATACAGCGTAGTCTAAATATTGCTCCCTGTCTTTCTTTCTCTCTCTCTATAACAAATGAACATTTAGGTAAACTCCAAGGAATCACCAGCCCAGTTCTGCCAGCTGTGTGAGAATGATGCACCACTTGCTGATATCAAAACAGTGCTTCCTTGTGGCTTCTCCAAGCCTTGATTGTGCGGCTCAGACAAAGGAATGATTCAGCATCTCCCCTCTCATGTGGTTGCTGGAAATTAAAAACAACTGCTGCAGCTCACTGTCACTAGCCATTAATTTGCTGACATCAAATAAGGAAGCTGTTAAAATTGATTACAGTGAAAGCACTTGTGCAAAAAGGTGTTTAGTTCAGTAAACAAAAATTACATTGAATGAGGTGGGAGTGGGGTTGGGGGGTTCCATTCATTTAGCCACTTGTTATATATTTTTTAAAAGAAATGGCCAATCCCTATATTCTGGACAGGTGGTTTTTGAATACTGCAACATGTTCTGATTGGTTCAGTGACAACTGTTATGTTTTCCCTTTTTTTTAACAAAACCCTTCCTTCACTTTTGACTTTCAACTCGCTAACCAACGTAAAGCGTTGTATATAATTAAAAGAAATTACAATGTCAGCTGACGAATGTCAAGCCTGTAATTTTAATGTAATAGTTGAGCAGCTGGCTCTCAGTGTCCCTGATTCCTTAAGATATAGTAAATTAGCAAACACAAAAATATACAGAGGCACATCATATCTCAAAAAGACATAATATAAACTGTTAAATCAAATTACTTTGTCAAACCAACAGCTTTAACTTCTCTTGAACCTGTGCCACTTGTAAATCCATTTCAAGGCATAAATATAATTGTTGATTTTTTTGTGAAAAATTAAGACCGTTTGCAAAACAATTCCATAATTTTGTCTTTCATCTTCGCGTTCGGCAGTTTATTTCTGCATAAGTCATCCTGACAGAACCTAAGCAACTCAATTTTCTGCTTCTGTAGCTAGGCGTATTGCCTTCTACATAGCACTAGCATGAAAAGGCCGTGGCTAAGCTTTGGTTACTAGTGTAATTGAAATGCTATCCACACTATAGGGTGCATTAAAGTCAGATAACAGCAGTTCCTGTGGCCAATTTAAGTAGCTTGACTTCCCTGGGAAAAAAAATTGCCTGACAGATAAGGCAGACAAACTGGCTAATTCTCCAGGCATGTCTCTCATTGTGATCCTAGAAAAATGAAAAAAAAATGAATCACAGAACCACAAAATCAATTGACCCTCAGGTTGCTCATCAGGCACGGAGTCCGATAAACCTAAAAGCTTCGTTAATGTCTGCCTGCCTGTATCCCACAGATAGAGCACTTTGTAAATGAACCTGCTTTGATAAATATATTAAGGAAAGCTGTGAATAAAAGGAAAGTCTTCTCATTTGTAAATACAACCTCTGCTACATGGAATTATAATGATAAAATGGGGTTCCATGTAATTAAGTTTGTATAAGACCTGAAATCCGTGCAAATACCTTCCCTGAATTTTGAAAGGAAACTGTCAGTTCAATTAATCTGAACATCACCCGAGAATGTACTGAACAAAATTAAGCTGCAGATAAAACCCAGCCAGTATTTTGATAAGTAATTCCTGTATCATTTCTTTGGTACTGTGATCATTTTATTTAATCCAACCTTCCCCCCCATTCCAAGTTATGTGTTAAGCCATCTACAAAGGGATGACTTGTATGACTGCAGTAGCAGTAATCCATCATATCACACATGTAAAATGGGGAGTAGGGGGGTAAATATGTTTTTTTTTAAAATCGATAGGAGGAGGGGAAGAGAAAACTGCATTGCCTTTTGAAATACTACTCGATATTTTTTAAAAAACCACTGAAGCTACAATGGGATATCTCCTATCCAGCATACTCCGGTCTGGTATTGCATGTTTGTGCACTAAACAGTTTCATATCTGAGGGAAAAAAGACTGTGTTATTTACAAATCAAAGAGTGCCTCCAGCAGAAAAACAGAGATATGTCACTCACCAGTTGTTCACTTGTAGGATTGTGAGTCCTGTGTCTTGGGCTAACTGTTTCTTCTGCTCCTCTGATGGGTATGGATGCTGCACAAATTAAAATGAATAACAAAAAAATCAGTAATAGATGTAGAGAGACACAAAATAAAAACTGGTGCTAATTTAATCCAATCTAAACGACAAAGGGATACCATTTCAATTTTTTTTTAAAAATCACAGAGATGGAAGATAATGCTCACCAAATATGGATTTTTAGAAATGAAATAAATTATATTGATTGCTAGGTGTTGACACTTTTTTGGATTGGCCTCTAGTCCTTTTGAAAGCCATGTAATTGCAGGAGGCTTTCCTCATCTTACCCTGTCCACATTAGTAATGACCCCTCGCTACTACTAAACCACTAATAGTTTTCAGCAGAGGCGAAAGAAATGAATAGGATGAATCTAAATTCACAGTTGGTAATTTGCATTGTGTAAGGCTGCCTCAGCCACTTGGTCTGCTACTGGTCATCAATCGTCCGCTGTCAGGTGCTGCACTATTCCACAGTGATAAATACCCTTCCTAACACCAGAATTCATCCAAACAATGTAATTGTCTTTTATTTTCTACTCAGTAATGAAGATAATTAATGGTTTAGACAAACAAGAATGATATTTCATCAAGAAGAGCAGTGGATGAAATCCAAAGGCTTAAGTGAAAAATTTTGATTGACGAAAAATACATATTTCTGAATAATTTATCCATATATCACCACTGTTCTGGACTGCAGACCCCAACATATTATTTACTATACATTATTAACATATGTATTTTCACCCATAAATCATCAGTCAATTTTCATTCTCACTGTACTGAAGCCCAAGTATTCCAGTAAAATGACAGTAGAGATGACAATAAGGTGTTAGTATAAAACCAAGATTAACTGTCGTAGGAAAAGCAACACATCTCCAGGTAATGCATTTATGTTATGTATATGGCCATTTGAAATCTCTAACCCATTAATTTTCTGGCCTAGCCATCCTGTAGCAATTGAAGTTTCCCAGTGGAATACATGCTAGAATATAGTAACAATGATGATGGATCACTTCATCATTGTGGAACCAGACTGTGGTGAATTAAGGACACAGGTCATAGGTTTGGCTGTCCTGGAACCACTCTGCACTGATGAAGCACTCTCAGAGGTGTAAAATTGTAGCTGCACAATGTACACGTTTAACCAGATATTCATTTACACCTTTTACTGCAGCAGATTCCAACTGAAATGCACCCCCCACCCTACCCCCACCCCATTTTCAAGATAATGATGACTTTTAATTAATTAGCATTGATTTTTTTTCCCTGTATTTGATTCAGGATTTTTTCTGCACCACATTAATTATTTTGATTCTTAACTGGCTGTGTCAGTTTACGCTTTGCAGTATGTGGATCCGAGTATTGCTACTTCCTGACAACAGCCAAAAACAGGCAGGAATGTTGTATGACTCACTTGGCCTTGCAGGCTTTTACTACTAAACATGGAGAGGTAGCAAAGCTCAGGCATTCATACTGCAGCAAATAGCTTGACTTGCATGCTGGCTCAACTGTGCTCGCAGGCCACAGAATCACAATTATGGCAGCTACATTGAATGGCTTTAGCAATTGTGTCGAGAGAGGGGGGAGGGGGGAACAGTTATCATTTCATACACTTCAAAGGCCATACTCAAAACCCAGCAGCAGTGTAGTGCTTTTGTGAACAGGGCTCTCCCATAGAATACAGTACTGCCCCCTCAACAATAGCTGACTCCTCTCCTGTTCCTGCCTGGCTTCTAGCCAGATGCCTGTTTGCTTTACACCATTAATTTATGTTCACTGAGATGGTGCAAGGTTCTAGAGCAAGGTTTGCTATCAATTTGCTTTTCAAGTTGAGTCTGTGGCTGCCATACTTTGCGAAAATACCCCTGAGGCTTCATACAGAAAGCTACTATCAGTACTCATCTACCAGGTTAAGGTGAAATGTTGTCATCTCCCAGTATCATCATGCATGTATAATGAATGTGTGGAGATAAATGTCCAGTTGTTGCCTTAACATGTAGTTTTAAGAAAAAGTGAAATGTCCACCAAATACAGGAAATAATCTATAAATTACCTGTTTACCCAATAGTCATAAATTCATAGAAAATGCACACTTCACTCAATCAGCAAGTCCTCTGGATAAACATCAACACCAATTTAATGGCTTGTGCTCACATTGTAAACCCGATCTCAACAGAGGCAAATCTGATTAAAAACAAACCCAGCCCTATTCCAGAAACAAGCAGAGACTTTGACTACTCTATTCCACAAAACAACTTTTTTTTGAAGATGTGATAAGTATTCACAAAGAACGTAACAAATGCTGCCAAGTGTAATTTGCTGTGATTTCAGGTGTTCCAATCTATGAACATTTTTTTCCAAAAAAATTTAGCCAACAGAAAAGTACGTTTCTCACTACCCCACCACCACCCATTTTGTATCCATGGCATGTATAGATTAGTTTTATTTTTAACTTTGAGGCCAGAATATTCATCCCTATGTATTATTGTTTTTATGATCCATATATACGGCACTGTCATTTTTACATGGTGTAATTTTTAGGGTTTTTTGCATTCCGCTGATATCAAAAGTAACTTCACAGAAATAACATTGCAGAATTTGGCAGTTTACCATTGGTGGCGCATTCACCTGCCCGACAGCTGAGAGTGTAACTCTGGCTGGCTGCTCATATCTCTGTTAAGCTTTACCAAGCAGAACAGTATTTTAACTGGACCATATTATACCCTTTCCCCACACCCCAGAAATACTATACATTAAACATCCCTCAATTCCACCGACTAGGAAAAGTTGTGAATAATTTTCACACTAGAGAGGGGAAAAAATCGCCCTCTGTTCCCTGCTTTCTGCAGAAAAACTTTTCTTGTGAAAAAAATTGCTCAACAGAAAGAATCTGAATCATACATCGCAAGCACTGATGGCTAAGGATGACAGTTTCATCCTGTACCCTAAATTACTGGATCAGTGTAACCAGAATTTATGACAGGCAGACACTGGACTTCACATAGCTCACATATTAGACCATTAGGCATCTAACTACCTCTGAACAATTTCAATGCATTATCTCTCCTTCTCCCTGGGGCGCAAACTTCACTCTTCCATACTTTTAATATATTTTGTCTGCATGAAGCAGATCGAGTTATTACATGCCAGAAGAACACAGCAAACACCAGTGTCCTGGCTGTGAAATGCAGCAATTGTTATTTCAGCATGCCTACTTCATGGGCAGTAAAACAGATAAACACCGACACGGGTAAACTTTATTTAGGGATCACAGATTTACTCCTGCCTGTAGCTTAGTGGGGTGTTTTTTACACAAATTTACAATGCATCAAAATCTTTGCTCGAAGGAAATTTCAGTATTTTTGTTTACAAGACTTGCACGCAAGGAATTCCCAGGTCTTAATTTTGAGGAGAAGTCTGCAGTGACCTCAAACATTAGTGGTTTCCATGCAAATCACCTCCAGTCAGTGGTTACGAGACGTTTTACTAGAAACCTCTGCTGGCAGCTCCTCAAATAAAGAGCACAATAAAACATGCATTGATTTGCTGCTAATGTAAAGGGATGGAAACAGCATTAGGAAAATATTCATGTGAAGAGCATTGGACTTGTAAACGCTCCTTTTTACATATACTACACGTTCAGCGCTGATTCAGTGACAAATTGACACCAAAAGTGAGGTGTAAAGTATGGTTTTAAAAGCTGTGATTTGATTTTTGAGCCCTCTCCTGAAATCACCTATGTGTGTGTGATGGTTTTGGTATTGAATCAGTATAAATCGGGCTCTACTGCACCCAATTTTATTTTAAGATTAACTTTAAACTTAGATAAAATTACATTTTAAAAGTTTTCAGGCAGTCTTTGCTTTGAAGGTTTCTTTTTTATTGTTTGGTCCTCGGCTTTACCGCTTCCAGCTCTTCCACATTTTTTAAAAAAATTAACTGGCATTCAGTGCCTATTTGTGCAACTCAGCACATGTACAGAGCAGTCCTCAGCTCCAGACGGGAGTGAATCGCAACAGGAAATAAAATTCCGGTTTTGCGGTCTGAATCACTCTTCTGTTGGAAGGGTTGTCACATCGCTTCTGCAGTTAAAGGAGCATTAGAAACAGACTGATAAAAGAAATCTTTGGGTAAAGATTCTTGTGAGCGTTACAAGCAGCGTCTTTGGTGATGCGCGATTATAATGGGAAATCCCATTAGTGGTCGACTTCGCGAAAAGCAATGAGCGTAATACTCATCGGAATTTTCCCCCATTTCAATCTTCCAATAAGATTATGCACTCACTTTATTTATTAAAACAAATCTTCAAACGGGACTTATTGGATATGAATGTAATGTTCCACCTTGCGGTCTCTGTGAGACAAAAAATACTATGAACTAATGAAGACACTGAAAAGCGTTGCTTGCCTTCAAAACCGGTTGGTTGTGGGATTAAGTCACAGCACTCAAATACACCTTTCACAGTCGGGATTAATTTCATCAAGTTTTACAGTTGACCTCCAAATGAAAGGGCATTTAACCTCAGAGGAAAGGAAAAAAACTGCAAGCTCTCATCAATATAAGCGTATGTAACCTCTCTCAGAAACCAGTACTATACTAGAAAAGCCCTTAATATTGACTATCACTCTGTACCAGCTAGAGGAGACTTGGTCATACAACACATCTTGCAGGGGAAATAATTGCAGGTTGGTTGGGGGGTAGCCAAGTGTAATAATGTAACAAATGATGTGGATTGCTAGAACTATTTGGGGAGTTCAAAAAGGATTGTACATTTTCTACGCTACCAGGTTGCAAAGTCTGTTTTACCAAATACATTTCTGTAGTGGTAGTGATAATCCTACAAAGAAAAAAACAGCAAAGGTCAGATTGTTGAGAATTTCCAACAGAATGGCACTCAGGAAGCCTACCCAGAGGGTCGCAATATTCCGACTACTTTATCCCAAAAGTGTGATTCCATTTTGTCTGTTCCATGATATTTATCATTATATGTCACTGTAACTGGGGAAAACATACGC